ACTTCATCTTCGCTAGCCAAGGGTTTTCGATCCGAAATCTACTCTACAACCCTGGCAGATTTAGTCCTATCAAACGGGAAATTCAATTGCGCCGTCCATCGCCGTAATGCTATGTTCCCACTATCACGATTGGCGCCACGATTGATATCGGGGACTTGAACGTGGACAAATCGTAGTTTTCGTATCAAACCGAAACAAATCTTGTGTTCACTCGTGACCATCGTGTTGATCGTGAAATTTTTTTTGACTGTCAAAAATTTTTCTACGATTAACACGATTAGATTTTAATCGTCATCATCGTATCAAATCGCAATACATCGTAACTAACCTCAGCTGCATCGTAAGTAAACGCATCTAATCTGGCTTTCATATCGTGATCGATCTCAGAAAGGACAAACATCCCGCTGAATGACGATTCGTTGCGATATCTCACGTTCTGTCACGTTCTGTGACGCTTTGCGTGGCCCTACTACCCACGTGCTGACACGATATTTTCCCACTCAGAGACGATTTGATACGGACGTATGAGAGTAAACGCCATTAGACACGAGTGTTAACGCTTTGTTGCGGACAATCACGCTACATTATGAGTACTTATACCCTTGTAAAAATAACGGGGAAATTGAACGCGTTTCTTTCGCGACTGAAAAAAAATGTCTGCGTTTTGGAAAAATATTTAAAAGATGAAACTAAAACAGGTACAAAAAAAGAAAGAGGGGAGATCCTATCTTCTTATTAACTTGAACCGTTCGATCAAAGGCAACATCAGAGAAAAAATAAAAAGATAAGAAATAGATCTGTACATTGCTGCTTTTGCCCTACTTTGACAGCAATAACATACATGTATGACCATAGTTACATCACAAGCACCACATTCATGAAGTTGTCATCAACCTTTACTTCTGCCATTAACAATGATTGTATGTTTATGTTTTGTTTGATTTTTCAATAAATAAAATATAATGGACTCAGTATAGTCAGATTTTTATATGTCTATCGGGATACAATCGTAGCTCAAAGCGCGTTCTATCTTGATCCTGATCGTGAAAGGCGTTGCAATGAACGTGTTATTCTATCGAACATTAGCGCAAGAGTGCGCAATGAACGTATTATATCGTACAAGTAGAGCTTTTTTAAAAAGCTTCCCGTCTTTAGCAACAAACTTAAACTGTAAACTGATCTACACCTATCAGGCCGTATAATTCTTTTGAATTTCTTGATTTTGTATTTCTACATTAGCTTTTTACTGGCATTAGCCCTACCACGGTTGTCGCTCGGTCATCTCCGTAAACTTTGACTCGCCGAGAGCTTTCGGCAAACCTCGGCTGATTCCATTAAGAAAGGGGAAAAGAATAATAACAAATTGTAAAGCCTGCAAGCAATAAAAATCAAATTTTATTTATAATGAAGTTAAAGAGATCTTTTTATTTTTTGCTATACAAAAAATCATGTTATTAGGAATTAATTACTGCTGATTTTGTTGTTCGTTTTGTCATTTTTTTTTTAAGATTTAAAATCTTGCAAAATTGTTAAGTCGTACGAAAATTAGATCATCAGAAAGTTATCTCCCTTGCCTTGAACAGCATTTCAACCAATGAAATAATTGAGAATCTTCTACTCATGCAATTTCTTCCAATCACAAAAGAGTCCGAAGACTGTAAAAAACTTCAACTATACAATACCGTCTTCCAAGGAAGAGGGTAATGAGTACGTATTAAAACGTAGGAGATCCTCTCTAATCGAGAACTCGGATCGTGATATTCGTGACAGATCGAGGTCCTTTTTCGAATAAATCTTGATAATCTTCTCGGAACGTAATTCATCTTATCTGAACGGTGGTCAGATCGTCAGAGATCGCATCACATGAAATTTATCCATCGTGGCCATAGCGCATAAAAGCGTAACGAAACGTATGAGAACGCACCTATACGCATTTCTTCGTATCTTGGCATAAAATTCAATAAAAACTCTGCGATCAACTACGATCGATCTATCGTGACGTGTGTAACTGACCGCACGACAGTGGGAACGTAGCATAACTGAGTTAAGTTACTTAAAGCTCTTTTGTATTTGTCCAATGAAAATAACTGTTAATATTTGTAAATCAATATGACGTTTGAAAGCAGATTTTCACTCATAGATTTTATCAACTCGTTTTTTCCAGTTCTTAGTTCGTTCAACTTGTGCAGCAGTTCGTAGTCAATTTTAGATAATTTCTTCAATTTAGCATAACAACGATAACAAACATACTTAGACGATCCGTCATTTTCGTGTGGAATATAACCCAACACTTCATACAACTGTTGGTACACCTCAGAAGTGGTATAAAATGTTCTTCGTGATTTTTATCAAGAGTTTGACAACACGTGTATCCAATATTAATGAGCCATGACATTTGATTGGCTGAAATTGATGCACCTCAAATGCAGAACACGAACATGTACTTATGTGATCCTTTCAGTAATATCTTAAAAACATATGATATGAGCGCTCCCCCAAATACAAATGCTGCCATCAAAGAAAAAAAAACCGAATCGATTATTCCCTTGTTTTTTTAAGCATATATTACGTCCTAAATTTTATTCCTTGTAAATTATCAACTTTTGCATACAAAGACGAACATACCTTAAGCTGAACACGATTCGTAAAAGGAATGTGTTCGCCATTTTTGTTCGGTGAAGCGCTATAGCTGCAGATCCCTATATAAAGGGCAGTACTTTGTCACTGTTCAAATTAATTAGCTAGTCGACACCGGTGTAGAGGGACGTATGCTATACAGCACTCGGTAGTGTCAATAATAACGTAATACTTCGTCTAATGCAGGAAAGTAAGAAACCAAAGAAACTTACAATTAAAGTTGTACAGGTCAGTGCAGTATACAAACACAGATACTTGTAACTGCTATCAAATGTAAACAAAGGTAATGCAAGATAACCAGCACGAACACGGGTCGCCATTCCACGCGTGACAATAAAGCAGTCAGGTGTGACGAATCTGAAGAGTATATCCTGGTGTTGATGTATCGTAGATAATGATATCAAAAATGGCGTATGTCTATTTACGAGTCGTGTTTAGCTTTAATTCCGTTGAAAATCGTCGATTATTAAAAACCTTGCGTACGCTGGGACTTCGCAGCTAATCAAATTCGTTTGTGCGAGGTCAAATTTTTCATCCAAATCTGCCAAGGATTTTGGGTAAATTTCAGATCGGAATCCTTTGGCTAGCGAAGATGCCTGAACTTAGGACACTCGCTTAGAACACCCGAAACGATGACCGTTTTCTGTTTCAAGAAATGTCAAGAGAAAGAATTAATGAATTATTTGCTACTTTGCGTGGAGTTTACTGGAGACATCAATTTCATTACAATCCTATGTTTATTTAGAACATGGATGAGACAATTATAACAATGTCGCACAAACCTAGAAAAGAAGCTGCAAAAGGGTGCCAAGCCAATTCATGGAGAAGCGGGGTCCCTAGAAATGGTAACTGCTATGCCTGTGCTAATGCAATTTTATTCTGCAGGGGGAAAGGACATGAATGCAAGGATATGGAATAAAAAATATCCTGAAGGATTCTGTATTGGAAGCTGATATTTTTTGTGTCCAAGAGGAGTTTGACAAAAGGTGGAATTGGTCGTCTCTGGTATGAGCAGAATTTTTGCAAAACATTGGCAACGAAAGCCACAATTGCTTGTATGCGATTGGCATGGGTCTCATGCAATTCATAGAAATAGCGCAAACAAACAACATTGTTATTGATCTACTAAGTCACACCATCGCCGTTAATGTGTCTGCTCTACAGTCGCTAAGTAAGGAGCCGATCCTTACCTCGCGGGTTCGGATCCCGCTGCGGGACGTGGAAACCGGTCATTCAAATGAGACTGCATAAAGCCTATGTCGCAGTAGGAGCTGGCGCGAAAAACACTCCTCACTGATCAATGGCCAAAATTTGCAGCTCTCCGCCGACAAGTGGTGGCATCTCTACATGAGTGAAAAATTCGCAAGAGAGACGTTCGAGATGGTAAACGACATACAAACAAACCACGTCACTTCAATATTTGGAAGGAGTCGTTAGTCCATTTCTTCTTTAATAGTCTTTCAAATCGGGGTGAACTAAAGAGGAAGATTCATTTATCAATACGACTGCATCCGAAGTTGCTGTAGGATAGGATACGCAAAGTTTCTGAAGAATTTCAGAAGGCATGTCTTGCATCTACAATGCATTCGAATGTAGTGTCTGGATTTCAAGCGACTGCAGAAGCATTTCCTTCAGATACGTAAGTGATTCCGGCGCATGTTTTCCTTCCATCTGTATTATACATAGATGAGCATGTCGCCCACACTAGTAAGGTCAACTTTCGTATAATTTAATCGCCATCTTTAAATGAAAATGTCTCACCGGCCGTTGCATACATAGTTTCTGATGTCATTGGGCACGTCCCAATTGAGCGCTCCCCCAAATACAAATGCTACCATCAGAACCTATGTTGGACAAAAGTTCAAATGGAAGCTTTTCTACAAGCTTTGAAACAATCAGTAATATTTGACCGTGGTATTAATGAATTTGTCACGAATTTGCTATTGATGAATAACGTTTGATTCAAGCTAAATCTTTATCCAATTAGTCCTGTAGTCATTTTTATATCAATCGAATACGAGTAGATGAAACACACTATGTAAACTACAATTTACATGTGTAATGTTTCGATTTTAAGCACTTTCGGGTATGAAAGCCACCCAATCCCTTACCTTTTTAATAAATTTGCTTTCTGGAAAGTTGCTTTTACTGTGTTCTTTCAAAAAGATATATTTAACTAGACAATTGACAGGTGCCAATAGTAGCGAGTGTCCGACACCAAGATTTTCTCGATTTGCACTTTACCAGCAGTGTATCTATTGGATATTCTATTTTTTTTCAGACTAACTCTCCTCAGAAACAAATATAATCGAATACCCATCGCTTCCCTTCAACCATTTCCAATATACAATGATAAAATGCTATCAGAGTTAAGAAGTTTTAATGATAAAGGGCAATGTTTTATAAAAATGTGTTTCAAATGGTAAATTGCTAAATGATTTGTTTCTATGCCATTCTTCTAAACATTGAAGAGCATATGGTTGGTAGTTGTAATAAAATTTGTTCACAAACAGTTCTCTTTTGGACACCAGCTCAGTGAGATCTCCAATTCCAAACACACACACTCCCCTAATAAACTTTCCGTGACAGGAATTTACTCCTCCCCATGCAGCGTACACCGCCAGCCACGGCTTATTGTCAGGCTTATCTGTAAAGGCAATATGAAAATTTTATTCTTCTGTCAGATACTTTGTTTCATTTAATCGCATATTATATTACACAGACAATTTTGGAAATTCCGCACACTTTTATGCTATCCATTTAAAAATGATAACAATACGATTCATTTTATATTACGTTGTAAAGGAAACTTTAAGAGGGCTGGGTGGTTGTGGCAAATTTCATTCTATTTTGATCTCCATATAAAGACATACAAAAATGAACGAAATTTAAAATTAAACTATTTGAAAATTTTCTTTGCCAAATAATAGTTGACAGCTTAGGATATAATATCTAAAAATATGTTATACCTGATTGTTAATTTTTTGACCCCCAAGCCTGCTTAAAAAACGGTGAGGTATATCATATCAGCATAATTTTTTCCCCAGAAAAAATGTCTAATTTATCTAATATATTAAGTGTTTTTCAATCAATATACATTTTTAATAGTTGTAATAGTTTAGTGAAAGAGAAATTAAAGATTTCCCAAAACCTTTTAAAAAATCTTTAATGAAATATATGGAGATAACAAACAACATTCAAGCTCAAAACTCCATAAAACAAAACAAAATATGAGCAGAGCAAACACGGACCTCCAAAACATCAGAGGTAGGATCAGGTGCCATAACTATGAAAAACTTCAGTCAGCATTTGATTTAAATGATAAATTGTATTTGCTGACATGGTCATTGTATCGACCATAGAACTTACGAAATGGTGACTTTAATCGAGACTGCTGATATTCTTGTTTCAGTAACTTGTTTGTCAGTCACTTATCACAAATATAGTTGCATCATTATGTCGTTTTCTGACTGAAATTCTTCATACCCATGGTTAGGCCTTTCTGTTTTACTAAATTTGACTACAGAGTGTCAGCCTGCCTGATGAATGCATAGGGTCTAGATTGTTTTTGTGAATCAAAGTAAATGATCATGTTTGGTGAAGAAATGACACTCAAGTTTATGGATGTTCGCTAAATAAGCACCTTTCGACATGTTAGGAAGTAAAATGAATTCTCGTGTTAGGGAGGAAAATGAATGCTCTATTGGAGTCTTTTTTATAAGAAATAAAATATTTTAAAGCTAAGAAGACTAAACCTACCGAAGTAGCCTCCAGGTGCATTAACAACCTTGTTAAAATTCAATATAGCCCAGAAATATTCATCAGGACTTTTAACATCTTCGCACCATTTTAAAACAACTTTCGCCATTTTATCGTGTAGCGCAAAGTTGACAAAGTCCCTGCTGAACACTCCGTACGCACTTCCTTTCACGACTTTGATTCCAAGTGGCGGCGGATCCTTTTTCTTCCCAGTATTCACCATGTTTTTATTTTCTAATTTGAAAGAAGAAAGATACCGTGACCTGTACATTCTCCCTGGAGTCGTTATGCCTTCGATATCATTAGCACCATTGTATATTTTCAAAATTTTAACAATCTCGGCGTTTGTCTTCAATGGATATTGCTGATGTGGAATATTAATTAAGTATTTCCAAGAAACATGAAGATAATTGAGCAAATCTGACATACAGTTTAAATCTGCCTGTAGGCGGGAAAATCCTGCATATATAACTTCCTCTAATTTCGAGGCAATGAACACATTTTGTAAACAATTTCCAATATTTTTTATCGCTCGATGTAAAGAAGGAGGTGCTTTCTTGTCTATATGAATACAATACACATTATGAGGTCGATAAATTGATCGAAGAAGTTGTTCTGTTTGCATGGCCTCTTTGTACGTCAATATACTATACGCTATGGGGAATTCCAGTTCTTCCTTGGTCACATTAAAGTTCCCATAATCATATTTGCTTAGAAACGTTTCACAGTTTTCACTTACATCCGCCATTTCTGCATCACTTTTAAATGCAAATATTTTGTTGTCCATTACATTTTTGACACTTTGTATATATTTTTCGTCTCCCTCTATTATTCGTAGACAATCGACATCCGATACTAATCGTTTCGGACCACGATTATTTTTGCATGTAGAACAAAAGAAGGTCTTCTTTGACACAACTGTGGAGTTAAAAGTAAGACCAGCACTCGGTCGTCCCGATTGTTCCATATCAAATATTAAATACGGATTTGTTACAATAACGATAGTTACAGCAACTGCAAAGCCACAAAGACATTGATGCACCTGCCGAGCTTGTTTTCTCATATTATTCCAACCTTCCACCTATTGCCTGCGAGAAAAAAGAAATGTCAAAAATGAATGCCCAATCATACAGCTGTAGATCTGTAGCTCGCTGGTCTGAAAAATATTGGGATCGACGACCAGAGAGCTGCAGTGCCACCCATTGAAAAAGGTATAAATTTATTGCGCATAAAAAATGTACTTTTTCTCGATTTTTTTACCGTTCATTTCAAAATAATATTAACTGTGTGTTTCTAACACATTCTTTTACTTCTTCCAACTTGACACTTTTGGTCGAGATGACGCGGAGACCCGGCATCTATATTTTCTTACATGTGTCTAATACTTCTTTCTTATTGTGTTTTACATAACCTATTACAACACCTTTTAAAAAGAATTGTTTCTTGACCCTGACCTAGAAGATTTTACCTACTTATCTAAATAAATTAACTTCAGCTACACTTTTTGTGTAGTAGAGACATTACACTAGTGTTTTCTTGCATTTGTCTCACTCGTGACAAAACCTTTCGGATTACATTATGATATTTGACCTCACGACCTCGACACTGACTTTTGTTGCAGTTTTGAGATATAATCTGCTGTAGTTTAATTTATCCAAACATTACACGTACAATGGACAGGACATACGAACAAGACAGTTACAGTGCGTCATAAATAAATTGTATACCAACCATTGAGACACCGAAAAAGAACAATAATTCTTTGAATTTGCTTGTTAAATGATACCGGCTATCATATTTCATATTAATTTTTAGCCTTCATTTTAATACTGAATTTTACTAAGGATTACCCAGTCTACCTAATCAATTCATATAGGGCTTAAGGCGGCGTGACCCTCTTACTCCCCTTAAGTATCTGTTACCACGTCTGGAATTTCCAGGGGTCCGCGTTTTTATGCCATGTTCACAAATCTGTGTAGTCACGTTTTTTTTATATCGAATAATGTTCCCCATCTTAACCTTTTTTTTATGTCGTCTAGAACGTTTTAAAGCTTCGAAGGGAAATCAATGGTTTGCATTTTATTAGAAAACAAAAAATTAACCAAACGTGAAATATAAAAAAAAATAATAGGTTTCGAATGTACAGAAAAGGGTAACTCCTAATGAGCAAGGTAAAGCTTCTCTTGCGAAGCAAAACTGCTTCCTTGTTTACATGATCTATTCATTGAATTCTATCACTTACTGGCAATGTAAAGCTTTGGCTGCTAATAAATGTATAATTATTAACTTCAGCAAAGTTCAGGTCAGTCTAATTTTAATATCTATTGAATTTTTTTATCCATAATTTCAACGTCATACCTGGACTAAGGAGATGAATGTAAAATAAGGTTATTGACCAATAAAGCAATTTGCGTAAAATATATCTCCCTATTCAATTTTACAACGTTCCAAGCTTTAGATAGGAAACATGTGTCTCCTTTGTAATCAATGTATCACCTGTTAAACCCGTTCGTGCAGCGGATTAACGTTATCTACAAAGAAATTCAAATCACGTTTATTTCCATACAGCTTGCGCCGTTTGTTTGTAAATTTTCAATTTTACACCAACATTTGTGTACGTAGATTATTTCAACGTTCATCAATTAACCACACCTATTAAATTGGGTCTTTTCCCCGATTAAATAGAATTCCTTTTATATTTTAACTAATAATTTATATGATTTGGAGGAAACAGTCTTAAGGGAAAGATAACAAAATCGACTAACCTACCTCATAACAATCCTTGGGAATATTAATCCTTTTATGGAACCTTTATAAATCTGATAATAACTCTTGAGTTTTTATCACCCTATGATAAACGTTGCACCCTATTTACACACACGATACGGCATATCAATAGTCGCCGGGAATTAAATAATGACTGTACATGACCAGCGCTATATCGATGATAAGTGAATTCAAGACCTTGTTTGACAGATGCGATATAAATCTAGCCATTCCCAAATTTATTAAATCAAAATCGATTATCGAATATTTTCCCCGTTGACGAAGTCAACACAAAAATTAAGTCATTAATGGACCAGGCAGTGTTTGTCATGTGTAAAATATTAATATGCGGAAGACATAAAGAAACCCAATTATTATCAATGCTGTTCATTTTAACTGACTTTTCAAGAATCGATGTACATTTTTGAGATGTCCAGAAAAGAGGCAAAACACAGTAATCGACAACTAATTAATACAATAACAAAAATGAAACAAAGTTAAAGCATTGGAGAGTTACAATTAAAAAATTGATTCTCTGTATACTAGCATTATATAAATGTTTGCCATCATCCCCTAAGAAAAAGATCAAACACGCGTTTGAAAACAATACGTTACCCTTTGTTAAATGGCAGCATGTTTCTAAGTGTTTTAACCATTTATCACATTTAGTCCAGAAAAGGTAAAAAGCATAATTATTACGATCCTTTATAAAAACTATTAGGAACTTGTGGATTTTGAAAATTATCTTTGGACTTCAAAAAATGATAACTTTAAAGGAGCATAAGATTAAGGCGTGCGAACATGAACTCTCTAGCTCTTAACCTTACCGTTAGGATTCTAAGTCCTCCACTCTCCATTCGCCTAGTCAGATAGGATCAATACAATGTAAAGTTCTTGTACTATGTACACCACTGTCAGTATCGATTTTGTGGGAGAAGCAAGGCTACGCAGACCAGCAGAAATAATTCGATCTACAGTTGTGGTGTTTCTACCATTCTGCATTTTAAATCCAATTTGACCAAATTTCTATTAATGTCTTGAAGTTAAACTTTAAAAACCCTCTAAACACCAACAAATCGCATTTTTAAATTCTAATTTTTCTTACATAATTGTTTTTTAAGCGGTTGCGTACATCATTCCATCAGGTCTGGGAGAGAACATTCGATTGAGCAAATAACAAAATGCATTTCTTCCTAAAAGCCATGGAGATTTTGTTATGTCTCATTCACGTTTTGTTTAACATTTTTAGAGTCTGGAAGAACTCCATTTATCAGAAAATGTAGTTTTGGGATTAATTCATATTTAAAGAGCTCCGTGCATTTACAAAAGTGAGCCTTTATTCAAAAATACATTCTAAAGACACAAAACACCTTTATTATTAATACTATTCAAGAGCTACAATTATTCCAAAAAATGCCTACAGTAGAAAAACCCTTTTAATAAATAACTTCTTTCAAATCAATCTAGTATGTTAACGTAAAATTTTACAGTACATTAATCAATAAAAAGTACACTAATCTCTCTTAACTACCAGTCGTAGATGATTTGTTAGTGTATCATCAAATTCATTGAGATCCGCATCCTGTTTGCACAGGTCCAACATAGATTTTATCAATGTAAATATTTAATACTTTCTTTTAAAAAGAAACCACACAGTTAAGAAAGCTGCTGGTAAAGAATATAAAAATATGTGATCGCTTACTCTGTGTCTTACGCAATATGTCTAGAAAAATGTTGCACTTTGTACCAAACCGATTTGTTTGCAGCACGGGTCCTAGTTAGTAGTAAAATTCTTTCTGAAAAAAAAAACATAAGTAAAGGAGAAGTTGTTTATGAACGGTTCACGAGTTATTAAATCTGTTAAAGATGGATCAAAAGTTAAACCACAGAAAAGATTGCAGGTAAAGATTTGCCCCCAAAGTTAGAATTGTTGCGTAATCCTAATGTTTGCACAGTGGTCATGTAAGGAGATAACTCGTAAACATTTTTAATGCAAGATTATGACTGTTGATGATATGAACACTCGGTCTATTTATCGACAACTGCATGGTATCCAGGAAGATCGAGTCACTTTGTCTGTAGTTATGTAAATAAATAACAATTGAATAGCTATGCACAACTAACAACTCTATATTAAGAATATCATGAAAACATCTTAATAAAATTAAAATAAAATTGATTGATTGAATATTTAAGTTCAACTATTAACCATCTGCAAAATTATTTAATTCTTTAAAGTGACAATACGGCGCATCTCTTGTTAAAATTTTCTTATAGGATTTGGAATTTTTTTCATACTCATAAATGTATATACGTACTGTCAGAAAATTACAAATTTCATTAGTAAATAATTCTGGTTATTTAATTAAAATTAATAATTATTTATGGTCCATAAATATATACATCGCAATGTGTTCGAGGTTCCACATTCCATGCTATTCACGCATGCGTATAGTTTTCATAAACAAAACAGCATGGTAAGAGGGAGAAGCCCGGTAGGCCTGCTACATTGACAAAGTCGACCAAAATGAAAAACAACCAAAAATAGGGCCTTGAAATTAAAAAGCAACTTTCCTGACAAAAATTTAGTTATGAGATTAATATAATCATTGAATGAAGAAGAAACGGGATCTCGGCGACATTCACGTGGGGCTCGCGAAGGTTGTACCGTACAGGTTTGTTGATACATGGTATCATTTCTCGTATCTCCATGGCTTTCAAAGAAAAAAATCAGTGTAGACTCAACGTAAAAATGCACTTATGACATATAAGAAATTATTGCTATTTGAAGTGCAAATTGTATTGGAACTGCAGAAAGATATTTTGTTTGACATTTTGCCTTGATGACGTATGATTTGGTGGATTTTCCTTTCCTGCACCCCAATACACAAAACGTCAACATTTGTACTTAATCATGTTAAATTTGTCTGAATGCAGACTAATATGTTAACTTTTATTAATTTCCCAGAGAGTTTAGATATTTTGATTCTCAGAATTGCTTTTACTTAATATTCCATTATAATTGTAAACCCTACATTGTATGCACGTGCCATTTTAGAATTCACGTGGTACAAATAAACAGAACTAAGTTTTACGACCCTTGATTTTCCGGCAGATTTTAATTATGTTAATTTTACATGAGGAGAGAATATTTTTCTCAAATGCACACTTCAACTTTTTACCTTATTCCTGAATGATATATTGGGTAAATTTGAATGAAAAAGCACACGATTTGCAGCCGTATTGCCGCTTTAATGGTTGTTGTCACTGAAACGAGCAGCTAAAGCAATTTAAACAAATAATGACATATATGTCCTTGGGCAGACAATACAGATATTTCTTTATCTTTACATTTTACTTCAACTTTATCTCAATGAATGTTGCAAAACAAGTAAATACACGTATGTGTTATGAAGACGACCAGACCCATAAGGTCGTAGCTTGAGAATATCGTGTTACTAAGATTTTGTTACATATATTTCTGTGCTTGTAGAGTTAGGTAATTTGAACGTATGGGATATGTCAGACGACACGTTCCTCAATTAATATTATTTTTCGAAAGAATTTATAATTTTTACCAGTTTACAAGTTTTATAATAAAAATTCAGGTACCTTACCATGCACCATTGATAGAACCAGGGGATTGTGTTTCCTTAACCTTTATACTCTTATTGGAAATCACTTGAATTGTTCATATTATTATTTTAGGGTATATTTCTTGAGACATATTGAAAATAGTTTATTAATAGTTACAAGTTAATCAAAATTATAACTACTTTTAAACACTGTGAAAAGATGGAAAAGGAACATGCCAAGTGCCTTATCTCGTCATTGAAGAAAACATGAGCAGCAATTGTTAACAGCGTTACATTACTGGTGAATTAGGCAATATTGCAATGTGTGTCACGCCTAAGAACTTAAATCACTTGTAGATAATGAATGGAAAAGTGTAAAATAGAAACCCATTGTCTTTATTTCTTTTCCTAGTAAGAATATTAATCAGAATTGCAATTTTTAAGTACAAAATAGTGTGACAACTTGTCTTTAGGAAGTATATGCGTCATACATTAGTTTTTCTCTTTATAAACATCAGTGAAAATGTAAAATTTACGTTATATTTAATATTCTAAAATAGATTTTATCTTCAGGTTGCATCGTGAAGTATATTTATGAGGCAGTAGATATATGGAAATTGAATATAAAAGAAAAGCGAAATACATCACATAGATAAATCCATTCTCATTCGTGTATCCATTATGAGGTCATATGACAATAATATTATAATTCTAAGGTCACAACAATAGACACATGTCAATCCTGAGGTCACAACACTAGACACTTGTCAATCCTGAGGTCACAACAATAGACATGTGTCAATTTTAAAGTCACAATAGTATACACATAACTCGCATCCAAATATCCTTCCTGCTGAAATACTCGTATTTCCGTATTATTTGGCGTATCAATTTAAACAAAGTTAAACAAAATTCACCCTTTAAAGGTATTAGATGCAACATTTCGGTCAATCTTAGCATAACTTAAACTAAACTGAGTCCTTTATAGTTAATCGTTTGACTTGAAAGACTCTCGTAGATTTATAACTAATCGAGTTATAGAAAAATGTAAGTGCGAATATTTGGACATTCAATGCATCATTTGTTCTAACAGTAGGTTATTTAAAATACGATGTGAAGTCACGTAAAAGTTAAAATCAAGCCAACTCACCTGTTCTAACTCCGCTTCACCGAGTATAGTGATTTCATAGTGCACACACAACAGGAAAATACTCCGGACATTGCTATATCCTTCCTGGTTGTATGTTTGGTTTACATTTAAGCTGTGAACTATTCTGAATGTTGCATGTTGAGAATGTTTGTGTCTGTAAAAAAAGCACATTTTCTCCGTCTTGAGTAAAACAGTCTGATACAAAATTTGGCATTTAAACTTTAATTTTTGTTATATAATCTGTGTTGTGTATGAAATCTTGCTTGTAAAATAAGACAATTGTTTTCATGGAATCCTGGAGGGATTGAATACTTGATTAGTCTCAGGTAATGCACCTACCTAAAATAGAAAATAAATCAATATCTAAAATTTGAACAGACATTTCTATACAGCACAAAGAAAAAAAATAAATCAAACAAATGAGATTTAATGCATTTATATAAATTCGTATCATTCCTATATCTATATGCAGTGTACCAGAAATATCTAATTTCCATTTAAAAACAAAATTAACCACAACTGACTGTAGCTCTACTGGTTTGCATTTTTAACAGGAAAATGCAGTATTTGGCTATTTGCACTTAAAATTGTATCCAAAAGCAATGAATAGAATAATGGTCCTGGATAAAAGTTTCCTTGTCTCAAAATTTATTGCAATCGGATTAAAGAATTGAAGGCAAGCAATATTCTTTTGAAACAATGTAACAAAAATTTCCATTATTAGTAACCGTTGCAAAAAAAACAAATATATTAAATGACGTATCTTAGAACTGTTTATATTTGTGTACACGGTTACTGAAATAAGATCGAAACTGTAGAAAAAGTAGCATTTCAATGGAATTTCACAGTAATTTCTATTTATGGTAACCCTGTGTATCGATATCGATATGGTAACACCGTGCATCAAAAGCAAAGTAGTATTGAAATCAGACCAAAACTGTAGGTGGAGTAGCATTTTAAAAATATTTCATAGAAATTTCTATCTTTAATACAGTAACCATGACAACATCGTTCATCGAAATCAAAAATCGATATATAGAGAATTATGTATCTTAGAGGAGTCTACTTGTGTGCCAATTTCAACAAATGAAATAAGACCACAACTGTACGAGAGGTAGTATTTTAAAAAATTGTTTACAGACAGTCGGACAGACAACTTGCTAGGGCATAAACTCGATATCAATTTACATTCCCCCTATAAAACCTTACTCATATTCTGCTTGATTTGGGCAAGTTCCGACTCTAAATGGTGTAAACTTGCTCTCAAATACACTAGGAATGCGATAGAATTATCTTCCCTGAATTCATCTGCATGAATCCTCACTGCATTCTTAAAAAAATCACTACTCTTGAGTACAAAGTTCTTTTATAAACATAACAAATTTCAAATAGATATATCATAAATAATAAAAAATGAGATTTTACTTATTTTTATTAGAGCTGGGTATCGCGACTGAAAAATCATATCGCGATATATTGCAATATTATAGTTTGTATTGCAATATATCACAATATAAAATTTTTAATAGCGAGCGCAGCGAGCGTCGCGAAGCGACGCTCGCGAAGCGAGCTCAATAGACTAACGTGTAAGAACTGAGGAAATTCGGATTGAAATCTGTACATACGTCAGCCAAATTTCTCTGTGCAACATTCCCAGAATTCCTGCACTACCCAATGTCCTTTGCGCGAATATTGCCGAATAAATAAATAAATAATAACGTAAAGCATATATCAGACTTTCAGTTTGTAGAAATCTTTCAAAGAAACAAGAAATAACTCTGCAATGTTTTTCGACAAAAATTGCACTTGTTCTATAGTTTCAAACAGACGCTCGGCTGTCTCCGTAAGCTCCGACGAGCTTTGTGACGTCGTATGACGTCACAGCTAGTCGAGATATCTCGTGCGGCTTGACGTTCGAAGTGGCTGATCTCAAGTGTTTTTGATGGTACAACTGCGCTCGCCCCAACGGTCACACCGTAAAACATATTAAATTTTGCTTTTCTTCAATGTCAAATGAAAACACAAACTCAAATTACACGTTTTCTCGAGTTGATATTGCAACTGCTTGGTCGCGTTGTGTCGGCGCAAGTGGCAAGCTAAGTTTTTTGTGGCACAACTTGACGAATTAAGTTGTTATAGCGAGCGCAGCGAGGCGGCGCGAAGCGCCGCTCGCGTAGCGAGCTCAATAGACTAACGTGTACGAACGAAGGAAATTCGGGTTGAAATCTGCACATTGTTCCAAGAAATTTTTATCTCACCGCGTGAAAAGATTCCAAACTCCCAATAATCCTTTGCGGTGCATAGCAACATGGTAGCTTAAACATAGCAACAACTTACTTGAAAAAATTACAAACAATGATTAAATGCAATCTCCATGCCAAAACACAATCGTTTTGCGTCCAAACGCAACAGAACTTTTAATTTGACGTCATTCTTTCGTCACTTACACGGCTCGGGTATTTCCGATTTTGTCGGAAACTTCCGAGAAGTTCGGAATCTTGATCCCGATGTCTGGGAAGTGAATTCTCTTTCTAATCATTCTGTTTTCTCCTCTTATTTTAATGAACTGAGGATAGACAGTGCAAGTAAAATCTGTGTATAGGTTTTTAAGTGTAAATTACTGCGCTCGCCCCAACGGTCACACCGTAAAACATATTATTCAGATTCGGCTATAACATGAAAGGGTTTCATGTAACAGTTGTCTCTTTGTTTCTGACAGAGATATGTCTCTCGTTTCTGATCACACTTCACGTCGCTTGCCGCCATATTTTACCATGAAAAGGGTAAATAACTCTTTTTGTAACAATTTATAGCATATCGAACCCGAACCGGTATTCACAAAAAATACCGCGATACGTATTGTGAAGAAAAAAATCGGGATACACCGGTTAACCGGTAATATCGCACAGCACTAATTTTTATGCCCCCGTAAAGAAGTTTATAGTTTTCGCCGTGTCAGTCTGTCTGTCTGTTTGTCCGCAAAACTTTAACCTTGCCAATAACTTGATTTAGTGGACCCATGACATTCATCTTTCACATGTGTATTTTTTGTGACAATACCTTTCTTCGGGTACCACCAAATTTGACCTTTTGACCTTAACATTGGAGTTTGACCCACTTTTACACAAAATTTTTGAACTTTTACTTTGGACATATCTTTTGAACAGTAGAAACCAGGGCAATTATACTTGACATATGTATTTCTTGTGGTAAGACCTTTCATTGAATACTAACAACCTTGACCTTTTGACCTTGGAGATTTCTGTATTATGAAAAAACTTTAATTTTGGTCATAACTTTTGAACGGTATGTGTTAAGGGCTTTCATATTTCACACATGCAACCCTTGCGAAAAGACGCTTTATTCGATACCAAGAACCTTGACCCTTTTACCTTGACTTTGGAGTTTGACCTACCTTAAAATATAACCTTAAACATAATTTTTGAAGGGTACAAACTAGGACTTTAATACTTTACAAATTTAATCATTGTGACAAGACCTTTCACCTGATATCAGAAACCTTGACCCTTTGTCCTTGGAGTCACTTTTACACGAAAAGTCCAAACTTTTACTTTGACCCTAATTTTTGCCAAGACCTTTCATTTGAAAACAACAATTTGACCTTTCGACCTTGACCTTGGCCATAACTTTTGAACGGTAAGGGCAAGGGCTTTCATCCTTTAAATATGTTATCCTTGTGAGAAGACCTTTCACTGTATCTCAACAACTTTAACCCTTAGACCTTGACCTTGGAATTTCACATTCTTTTTACAAACTTTAACCTTGGCCATAACATTTTAACAGTACGGGCTAGAGCTTTCATGTTTCACGTATGTAATCCTTGTGACAAGACATTTCATTGGATATCAAGAACCTTGATCCTTTGACCTTGACGTTGAAGTTTGACCTACTCTTTACAAACTTTAACCATTGTCATATAACCTTTGAACGGTAAGGGCTAGCGCTTTCATACTTCCAATATGTAATCTTTGAGACGAGGCTTTTTTTTCAGAAACCCAGAACCTTGACCCTTTGATCTTAACCCCGGAGTTTGTCTTACCTTTTGAAAATATTAACTTTGGTCATAACCCTTGAACAGGTGGTGCTAGGGTTTTATATTTCACATTTGTATTTCTTGTGAAAAGGCCGTACTCAGTGGCGTAGCATCGTTTTTGAAAGTGGGGGGGGGGGGGGCAGCCAGAGAAATTTTTTTTTTACTTACCTTAAAAAGTTGACAAGCAAAAAAAAAAAAAAAAAAAGGAAAAAGTTGCCCAAAGTCGAAATTCCTATTTCGTAGGGGGGTGGGGGGGGGGTTATAAAATTTTTCTCAGTGTCAACTACTTTTAGTACCAATTCTAATACTACACTTTCGGTACATCACTAAACGTGGGGCGCCAACCAGGCTTTCAATTAACATTTCCTATAGTATAAGTAAGGCTGGGAAAAAAAGTGGGGGGGGGGGGGGGCCGCCCCCCCCCCCTGCCCCCGGTTGCTACGCCCCTGGTACTTTAGGTACCAAGATATTTTATCTGCATTTGAGAAAGGTTAACCTTCGCTATGTTGCCATACGGGGGCATCAGTGTTTCACAAACACATCTTGTTTTTATGCACCCGGATGGATAGATCCGGGGCGTATATTGTTTTTGCCCTGTCTATCTGTTTGTTTGTTTGTTGTCTGTTTGTCTGCAAACTTTATCCTTCGCCATAACTTTTGAACATTGAAAGATAGAGACATATTTGGTATGCATACTCTACTAACTACGCCCTTTCAAATGACACCAAGGTCAATGTCCATCAGAGCCATACACTTAGCATGCTTACTTATTAATACCTAGAGACAGATCAGAGTAACAGAGAAAATGCTTTTCAACTTTCTTACCACCAGTTGATGGGCAGTTGTGCACCCCCCGTGGTACCCCTGACCCAGGGGTCTGAAATCAACAATTTTGGAAGAGGCACCTTTCTTCAACATTAATATGTACTTAGATCATTGCCATAATACCCAGGAGCAAAGGAAATGATTTTCAAAGTATTCATGCATTTTCACTATATAATCATTAGAGCCCGACCCTAACACCAGAACCTCTGACC